GGGGATAAATATATATATTTTTTTAAACAAAAAAATCAAACCCTGAACAAGTGAGGAGACTGGGCAAGTAGAACAGGCCAGTCAGCCCTCGTCAGATATACAGGTTAGTAAAATATTAAACATTTTTTTAATAAATTACATTCAAATAAAAGATAAATTGTTCTAATGTACTTTTTACAAATTTAAAAAAATTAAAATCAAAAATATTATGTGATAAATAAATAAAACTCAGATTACTTTAAGAGTGTCCGAAGCGCTGCCTTGGCTAAAAAACTGGGCTATAGCAGAGGGTCAACTCCAGCCAGGTATAAAGTATATAGCAGAGGGTCATCTCCAGCCAGGTAGAAAGTGTTTAGCAGAGGCTTAACTCCAGACAGGTATAAAATTTATAGCAGAGGGTCAACTCCAGACAGGTATAAAGTATATAGCAGAGGCCCAACTCCAGCTAGGTAGAAAGTATATAGCAGAGGCTCCACTCCAGCTAGTTAGAAAGTATATAGCAGAGGCTCTACTCCAGACAGGGAGAAAGTATATAGCAGAGGGTCAACTCCATCCAGGTAGAAAGTATATAGTAGAGGGTCAACTCCAGCCAGGTAAAAATATACAGCAGAGGGTCAACACCAGCCAGGTAGAAAGTATATAGCAGAGGCTCAACACCAGCCAGGTAGAAAGTTTATAGCAGAGNGAAAGTATATAGCAGAGGGTCAACTCCAGCCAGGTAGAAAGTATAAAGCAGAGGGTCAACTCCAGATAGATTGAAAGTATATAAAGACTCAATAATGAACGTTTGTTAGCTTTAAGCGGTTTTACAGTTAATTTGAAAGCCTAATTTTTTATATATCTACCATTTTGACATATGATTAAATATACCTGTTTGGAGATGTTTACATAAAGTAAAAAAGTGCTACGGATAAAAATTACGTTTTCTAGGTATAAAAAGCATATAAGTAGTCGTGGCATTTTTATCTATCAAAAAGTTAATTTAGGGTAACAAAAATATAATTGTCAAAAAGAATTGAATATTTGCTTTAAACACTGATTTTCTAATCCCTATATTTTGCATTCTATTGTCGTAAACCTTAAATATTGGAAACATTGAATTCTGTTGGGTCAAAAATTTAAAATATTAATGATTTACAGATTGCAAAGATAAAGGAATTATAAAATTAGAGTTTGTGGCAAAAACTTAGTTCCTTTATGAGGACTAACAAAACTAGTAGATTTTGTTTTAGATTGTTGATGAAGAAGTCATATTCTATGGATGGAACCCTTTATACACCCAGGCCACAAACCAAACCAAACCATTCCGACTCATTTTTGGGCGAAGACGACGAAAGTAACTTGGCGGATTTTGATGAAGACATTTTTGAGAATGATTATACTAAACCAGTTTAAATATTTTGACTCCACAATAGTGCACATAATTAAATGAATAATATAGAATAAATAAATGAATGTTTTTTTTGACAGATTTTCTTTCTTTTGAGCCTTTTTTGGTTATATTTTGTCCAGAGTTTTACATAAGATTAAATATTAAAAAATTGGTTGAAATATTGATTTGTTTGACGGAAACAAGGCAAGATATGTACCTAAGACGTGAGAGGGACTGGGAGTAGGGGGTAGGGTCAATCTAGCCAGTAGAAATGGGTATCGTTTCTGTGAGTGTGAACGAATGCAATTTTTGAGCATGAAAGAAACTTTTCGTTAACCTTGGAGCCATTCAGAACATTGGATAAACGACTTGGAATGTTCAGATAAACAAAAACTATCGTTTTCTAAAAAACTTACGAAAAAAAACTTGACCGTTTTGAAGTAAAAATAGTTTTTTTACACATGAATGAATGAACAAATGAATTTTCCAAAACTGTTTTTTCGAACTTTTTAAACAATAGTTCTTTTTACTAAACGAAGGAATTTGAAAAAAAGCTTTTTAAGAAATAATTGTTTTTTCTTACTGAATGAACAATTTCTTTGAATGAACGAATTTACTAAACAAACAATTTTACTGAGCGATTGTTAAATGAGAAAACGAACAAAATAGACGAACGATAATACAAAGGATGAATTTACAAACAATGAATGAACAAGATAAAACAAGTAGAAGGCACCCATCTCTACAATACATCTATTAGAAACAATGACTCAAAGAGTCGTAACGTTGTAAGTTTTATTTACAATAATTATTAAGACAAGATGAAAATTGTTGATTGAATAAAATTAGATAAGCCTATTGTCTAAAAAAATTATCTAAAACTTCCAAGGCTCAAAGGGAGTGTTCGCGAAAAATGAAAGGTGGTATAGGCTTAATGCGATAAAAAAGCGTTTTTGATCACCACTAATCTTACTTCTATCTGTTGCGTCTATAAAGAGAAAATTGTTAAAGACGTTGTTACGCGAGCCATGCTGCGTATAGAAAGTCTGTTTGTTGCCCCTGTGTATTTCTGAGTTCCCCCTGAAGATCTGTACGGAATGTATTGTAAAAGAACTAGTTTAGGAACTGTTTACAGACCGACTGTGCAGACGCAAGATTTCTCGCGGAATAGTAACTAATTTATGTCAGTATATGTTTATTCGTTTTGCAAGTATT